TTGATCGGCAAGACGAGCAATTATATTGTTTTCATCGATGAGCATACTATCAACTTCATCAATAATAACAATATCGTAAGGTCGATTTTTACGTGTATTTAATAGACTAAAATCATTACGCAAAATATCGAATTGAAACTGACTCGAATTTCCATAGACAATTTTAGCTTCATAACAGTTTTTTGGTCCTTCAACATAATTTACTTCATCATTATTATGCGAAACAGTCATTTTGAACATTTCATAAAATTGTTTTCGTTCATGGGCATCGCGTTTAGCCAGTGTTATAGAACTAGTTACGATATCAACTTGTTTACCTTCTAAAGCTTTTATTACAGCCAACATTGCTATGACAGTTGATTTGCCTTCACCAGTCAATATTTGTAATAAACGTCCGCCATGATCTTTAGAATCGAGCATGATCATAACGGCAATCAGCTGAACATGACGGAGTTCAAAATTCGAATCAAGTTGAACAGCACGTTTGATAACAGCCATCACTTCGATCAATTGATCTTTGATGAATTGTTCGGAATGTTGACAAAAGACTTCGTTTGCCCAATATTGAATGTTAGATTTTTCCCAAAATTTTATCGTATTGTTTTGTGGTGCAATTAAAGAGTATGATTCATATACTTCATCGATCGCTTTTAACATATTAGCTAAATCTATCGAACCATTGTACTGAATTTCACTTAAAAGTGTTGCAATTGTTTTATCAGAATGTTTCGAACCAAATCGATAGTCGATGATGCAAGCATGAATTTGTCTTGACCACAACAAAGTGACTTCGTCCATAAAAATTTTGTTCAACTGAGAGGCCATACTTTCATCAATTTTATAATCGATTAACATTTTCAAACATTCATTTAATCGGTTAAGATTTTCCGATGATTTAACATTCATGTCGATATTTTTTAACAGTTCACTTATTGTCTCAAATGTCCATCCGTATTCTAACAAGTTATTTAAATACAGTTCACATATTTGTACTTGTTTACTGGAGCCAGTAGAATTGCATAGGAACGTTCGATGAAATACAATCAATTTCATTCGATTTAAAAACGAGTTAAAATCTATTGTATTGTTTATCTGAGTAAAAACTTCGATGAGTTCATCATTAGTGATTTGATATTCAGCGATAGTATCAAGAGAGATAATGATGTCTTGTGGTTGATTTACTATTCGAAGAAAAGCTTCAATTAAATCAGCTGAAAGTTGATCTTCTTGAGAAATGCGATTAGTGAGATGATTGATAATAACTTCCGAATATATGAAATTTGATAGATATTCATGAAGTCTATCCGAAACGAAATATTTACGCATATTGATTAGCCAATTGGAATCATCCATCAGAAATATTTCAAATGAATCATTTGTCAATGTTTTTAAATAAATGAGTACTTGGTTGATTGTCGACAAAGTCAATTTACTCATTCGCTGTTTGCGTATAAGTACACGAAGAATTCTATCACGATCATTACTGTCAATACTGTACTGCTTGTATTGTTCGAGAAGCGTTAATTGATGGTAGAAAGTATTAACTTCAATGGATGTTGTATTCGAACAACCGGCTAATAAGTCAGTGCACAAACATTCTCTTATCCATTGTTCAACAGGCAAATCAAAAACAGTGGAATCAAAATGGTTGACGAAAAGTAATGTATATATCATGCATACACATTGTTCAAATGTCTCTAGTTGATCAAACAATTTCTTTTGATCGATATCGTACGGAAGTCGGAACAGTTTTGGTAATTCAATCACAATTTCAGTAGGCTTTTGAAGAATTTGATTATGAATAATGGCAAAACTTCGTTGTAAGATTTCGTTAGATTTATTTTTGAGTTGTTTTATGCAAAAGTTGATGATATTTGTTGATAATGATTGATATTGTGATGCATAATCCAATGTCAGATATAGATCGTTGATAATCTCTGTTTCATTCTGTAGCATATCGAACAAAATATTGAGTGTCTGACTTTTGAAAATATAGCGTTTTATTGCTAATATCTGAATTAGCATGACGATTTTCTTGGTACGACAAGTTATAAAAACATATTCGATTGTTTCACAGACAGTATTATCCAATTTGATATTGTCTTTTAATCGTCGAATGAGTATTTCACTGGCCATTTCATTAGACCTGCTAAGTAGTTTTGTTACACTCACTAAAATATCAGATGATATTTGTTGTTTGAAAGACAACATATTTTCTACAATCAACAATCCATCACAAACTGTGTTATCATTCGATGAACATAGCATTTGTTTTAAAAAATCATTATTAGTAGATTGTTTCATTAATGATCGATTATCAATTTGTAAATATTGCTTGAAATTAGCATTGTTCGGTGAATTGTTAAGTATTCGACGTGCACCTTGGAGCACAGTTTCATGAGAAGAATGCGTAGCTATGTATAGAAGATCATTGAGGATCATTGATGATAACGATGAAGTTGAATCAGGTAGAAGTTCAATTGTTATATAGTTGATCGTTTCATCGCGTAATGTTCCATAAATTGCATCAAGTACTCGATTTGATAGTCTGTGTCCACGTGATTTAGCCAAAACAATCAAATTTGCTGCTTCTTTTTTCAAATGAATAGCACAACTGTAAAGCATTGTAGATAAATTTATTAAATGTTTATCTTCCGGCTTGAAATCTGCTTCTATAGCAGTTCGAATAGAGTTCAGAAAATCTTCACCATTTGTTGTGTTTATACGATAAGTTAAGTCAAGTAGATTCTTCACAGATTTGTCCATTTGTTGAGCCGTCTTCAAACGAGCAAGATTAAGTACGTTTAAAGCAATATGTTTAATGTTATTACTAACATCATAATGCCATAAATGAGTTATAGCATCAAGTATCGAAGGCAGTAAAATTTGATCTTGTTCAATCAATGTTTTGGCTATGAGACAAGCATTTTTGCGAACCAATAAAGGTTGGCCAATGTCGAGTAAGAAAGGAAGATATGATTGATCGGTTTCAATTGGTTGTGCATCGGCAAGACTGCTGAAAAAAGCAATGACTTGATGTTGTAAATCAGGACTAATAGTTTCAAAAATGGCCGAATTCAAAAAGTTCAGAACTTGATCAATAATGGCCCGATCAATTAGCTGCTGTCGTTCGATTAGATGACGATAAATCTTAATAATATTTATATTAACAGATGCATCGTTCAAGAAATTTTGCAAAGAATAAATTATAACGTGAGGAATGGTCTGATTTTGACTGGTGAGTTGGGTGAAAATTTCTATTAAATCAACTAATGATTGGCTTGGACATTCAAAAAATAATTGCGTCAGCATTGAAATATGTTCTGGAATTAAACGTTGCTGATTATTTGTTACTTTGATGATAATAGACAAGAACGATAAGTTTTTATGCGATAGCTTTAATAAGATAAATAGTGACTCAAGAACATATCGTGACAAGAGGCGACCGCTCTCAATTAGAGACTGAAGGCCATTGTATGCATTATCGCGGCTCTTTGAACATGTGCTATGAAGAAGAACATTGATGTAGTAATGTTGTCGAAGAAGATCATTGACATTATTCGGTAATGGTTGATGTCGATCAGAAAATGTAAGTAATAATACGATATCATGAGGATCATCACTTTTGAAAAGTAAATTACCTAGAAAGACAAGGGACTTGTCCGACAAAATGTGACCTTGACATACAGCTATCTTTAACATTGTTATAACATTGGTTAAAACTTTAGAATCTGTTGTTAATACGTTTTCTAAAGTCGCGATAGTTTGCTTTGATACAGAATTTTGTTTCATATATGACATGAGTATTTCTACTGCATTTGTAACAATCAATAATTCATTACTACATAAACAGCATTCTATGAGACGTAAAAATGATTCCGATAACTCATAATTATTTTCAACAAGATATTTAAGAAAACTGAGTGCACGAATCTGTGTATCCAATTCAAAACGATTTTTAATTATTATCAATAAATGTTCCATGTAATTCAAAAACATATTTTTTATATTAATATTATCATTTGTTTTTATTAATTGATTATGCCAATACTCAATAAAAACCATTGCTGCTGTATTACGAATGGGATATTCATCATTGAGACAATATTCCATTTTGTCCCAAAATGCCGAAGGCAAAATTTGATCGTTATCAACGACATGCTTCATAATCCAAATTGAAATATGACGATGATCGGATTGTGCATAATCGAATATTTCAGTAATGTTATCCAAAACGAACGATGACAGAATCTTTTTTTGTTTTACCCAGCTCAGATAAACATTTAATATATTACTAACTAAAATATCGTCATTACAATGTAACATCGTTGCTAATCGTTCGAGTATATCCTCAGATAAATGGATAGTATTATCTTCAGCATAGAAGCATAATGCTGCTGCTGCCGGACAACGAATATTTTCATCTTCATCTTTTAAAATATCTCTGAGATGATTAATTACTTCCACTGGTATTAATACTTTATCTGGTACTGCTTTAATGCTATATGCTAATGCAAGTAAAGATTGTTCACGTGCTCTCGTTAGATAATGATTAGACATTCCAATTATACTCAAGTTTAGCATCTGTTGTGGTGTAAATATTCGTTTTTCAACGACTGACGCTTTGAGAAAAAGAAAGCTGATCATGACACACGTTTTTTCATTAAATATATCTTTTTCAACAGAATCAAGGTCCAATCTAACATGATGGCCTTTGGATGCCCATAAACTATACATTTTAAGGAGATTTTGTTTGATTTGATTGTCACTTGTTTCCTGAATTATTTGTTCGATCTTTTTAATTTGTTCGTCACTGAACGATCCATTATTATGTGCAACATGTAAAATACATTCAGCGCATATATGCTTTAACGTTACTGATTCATTTGTTAGATGACTGATTATTATGGTAATCACATCATCCGGTAGTTTTTGTTTACATCGGGCAGCATCTTGGAAAACATTTGCAATCATTTTGTACACGGAATTTCGATTCTTAACTGTAAAAAAATGCCGACCATCTTTCATTTTCTTTAACAAATAATTAAAATCTCCTGCTTCTAATTTTCCTTGCTTGGCTATTTTGGAAAGTTTTTTTATCTCCCTCAATGTAGTACGATACCAAGCAGTATGATCACCATCATTCACAATAAATGGATCTCTTTCCATATCGTATAATTCATTAAATTGATTTACTAAATCGAGCAAATGATCGGGACTGAGAAATCGAATCAAAGGTTCAATATTTTTTTCTTTCGAATGCAACACTGCCATGGTTTGCGTAGCTACAAGTTCACGTTGTACTTTAGTGTTCCATCTATGAGGCGTCACTTTCGATACCGTATGTTTATTGTCGAGAAAGTCAAGAAGGTCGCCTACACATCCAGTTGACGCATCATAATCAGTTTGCGTCAAGTCACGTAATTTGTCCAACACTTTCGAATCCAATGACATTCCGGCAAGTGCCATCATATACAATATTTTCACGGCAGTAAGAAGTAATTTATGTGATACACCATCGCTCATTATCAATTGCTCAATTTGGATCTTGATTGGATTTGATATTTCTTTTCTATGTTTGAAAATGTTTGTCATTGTATAAATGATATTTAAACGGATTTGTTCGCTCAGTTCTGAATTACACAACAAACTAATCATTGATATCCATTGAATATCCGAAACCATGTTGATATATTCTTCATTTTCTGACAATTTCCGAAAGATGAATGAAACATTCCAACCAAGAAGAGCATCTTCTAAACGATTGCATAAACGTTGAATTATTGCTGAACTAAGAACATTCGTGCACGGTAATGCTACTGCAAAACTCCAAAGAATACATCGATTGATTATAATATTATCTGTGGTGGATAATTCGAGCAGACTCTCAACATGCACTGGCTCAACAAAAGTTCCGTAGTATGCAGCATGTACACAAAGTAAATACTTTGCATGAAGTGAGTCAATGGTATCTTCACCATTGGCAGCCGAAACCTGAACTTCCTTAATTATTTCGGTTGGTAGTTTAGAACCCTTTTTCATAGCCTCTACAATTTGCAAATTGCTCGATGGGTTTGGTACGATACTACATAACTGTATTATGGATGGTAAATAAGCATCGTCGGATTGATCAAAAACAATGTGTTTTGTTCCGATGTATTTGTCTTCCATAGTAAATGAGTTCTCTAGAAATGATGTTTCGATGAAAAATTACGAGAACAACATAAGAAAATAAAACTTAGAAGTTACAGCATACTTCTTGTATTGATGAAGATGCCTATCACGACATTTCATACATCTCAGTAGAAATTAAAATTCTATTAGCAGAACGTAAAACTTGACTTTCTACTACAGCAAAGATAAATCAAAAAAGCATTATTTCTATTTAGAGAGCAGACAAATTCGATAAAAAAGTCCTGTTTGAATAAAACAATTTTATAACTGCGGCAGAAAGACGAAATATTATTCAAGCTATAATAAAATAAGCTGGAAATAAGATTTTGTCAGAGAAAGAAGTTTCGTTCGGAGCTCCAAGCAGTTCAGTGGGACTTCCTGTTACAGACGGGCCAGGTAGAGCCCTCAAAACTGCCAATCTGTCTGATCTGTCTACACTGTCACATAAGCCTTACAGAAAAGACCGTTGTATTTGTAAAAGACGCATATTTTAATGCTTAGTGGAATTTGAGCATTGACATTGTAATTAATTAGGCAAACATTCATACAGCCAAAAAGAGATATTTTAACCTTCTCAAATGTCAACAACATATCGCAAAAAGTTTCCTATTCAGAAACATGTGGAAAACGTTTTTTAATGACACAACTTTAAGGGTTTTTTACCGATATTGCATAGATTTTGGATCAAAAGAGTTATAATCTGGGTAGAAAAGGCAATTGTACAGATCACTATTTAACATTGAATAGACTTATATGACTTTCTCATCAGAAAAACGACTTCATTTCTGATCGAATTTATTAAAAGAGATTAAATTTTACTGAAACAGTATATTGATAGTCCAAGTAAGCACTGTTGTATGTTTCGATGTTGTCGTACCTGCTGAGGTTCCTTTTCTTTTAATAACACTCATATTGAATTAATATGTCGACTAGTTAATGAAGAAAAAAAACTTCACTCCTTTCAAATGTTTTCAATCAAAAGTTAAATAAATACTTATTTCAGCAGAAGAAATTCTTCATCATAAATGTTTTCACGAACTATTCACATTGAAATCAAAGAGGAAAGAACATATATAAAATTATGCGGCTTTTAATTGACTCTACATGGCTACCTTGGATCAATTTTTCTCATTGAATATGCCCAGCGACATAAGCAGGATTTTTAGATCAATAGAGAAACTTTCTTTGTGTCAAAAACGCTATAAATGGGCATAAGTCAATATTAAAGATTCTTCCAATATCCATTTGTGTAACACAAGTATCATATTGTTTTATTTTCTTTCTATTCTGAGACTTCTACAACAGTTCTGCAACATCTAATGATTATCTTCATATGTCGGCTAATTTCTGCGTTGTGTAATTTACGAAAAAGTGCAAAATATGTTTTTCGACGATTTTGTAACTCTGTTGAGCTCAAAAACTTTTCTATCAACTTTATTATATTTTTTAAAAAGATTTTTTGGCATATTAAAAGAATCTGAAGCTAAGTATCTGTTCCTAGCTCTTTACTGGTAAATAACAACGAAAGCCCGTGCAGTTGTTAAAAATAAAGAAACTGTTCTTGGTCAAAACAAATAAATTGTCTCCGTAAAAGTTTAAAGGACGGAGGCGCATAAGAACAGGAATCGGCCCTCGAACGAACTTTCATACGAAGACTATTGTCCGATGCAGAATTTCACGGCGATTCTTTTGATGCCAAATTCAATATGTTTTCGAAGACACTTAATCCTTTCCGGCTTATCACAAGTATACTCCCTATTTATATCACTGCAGATGGGTTATGTTTGCCAAAACGTAACTTGATGCAACTTTGAAGGGTCTCTTCTGAAAGAGCTCAAAATTCTGCACAAAACTCCACATGAACCCACTTCAAATAGGTTAATATTAGTAAAAGTTCTTAAGCACACATCCTCTCTCCACTCATATTTTTCCCCTGTAATAGAATTTCATGTAACCCGATCGCTTAGAGATTGCTGCTACAATGAAGTTTTGTAACTGGGGTTAGATGCAGCTTTTCACGGGCTACACGTCCATATACTTTTCGTTTCAAAAATTTATTGGCCAAAATTTTTCACAAGAACAACACTGAATAAAATGGTAATTTTTTCGCATGTTTGATTCACTATGACGTTCAAAATGTCTAGGAAATGTCTTTACGATGAAGTTTCACAACCTGGGTTGAGACCTGGCCAAGTTTCCTGGAATCAAGAACTCATTGGGAATTGGAAACTCAAAGTCACCCTCACGGACACCCTCACGGACACTCTCATCCACACCCTTACACTCTCAACCTTGAAATCCCTAATATTCTTGGCTTCCCTACAGTCATTGACATGTTTTAACTTCTTAGCGCTGGCTTTTATTAATTTTTTTTGAGTTTCCAACTCCCAATGAGTTCCCGCTTCCAGGGCACTTGGACATTGCTGTTTTATAAATATACCCGATCTGAACTTGATTTTACAAGAATACAGACGAACCGATAAAAGCCAGTTCAATGCGGTCTCTTTTCTGAATGAGAATCGAATGCAATGTGGGTTAGTGTTCCCGATAAGTAGGGCCATTCCATTCGAACCTGATTTGTCTGCATTTATGCAACCAGTGCAAGCTCTATGGCCATTGCACAATTTCACCATTGGCATGAATGTAACCCCGCATTCGATCTCAGGGCAAAGATCACGCTAACCGTAGACGTCAAAATCCGTCACGTATACTGTCGTTCACGATCGTAAATGGCCGTAATTTTGGCATTTGGTGGGCACCGTATTACGACCGTATTTTACCGTGTCGTACACGGTTGGCAATGGTCGTATATGACTGAAAAATTAACTATCCGGCCGTTTCCGCTCAATTACAATACGGCGAAATACGATCGTAATATTGTGCCTACCAAACGCTCAACATACGATGAAAGACGGCTGTTTACGGTTGTACATCATTGACCTGGGGCCGTATGTTGCTTTGTACGATTGATGTTCGAGTAATCGAGTTTGTACTCGAAAGCCGATCTCATGGGATGGTTACGTGCTAGTCAATAGAATATCAGCCATACATCTATGCAGCGAGGGGGTTACGAATCAACTAGGCGGACAAACACATACACATTGGCAGAGCGTACAGCGAAGGAAAATTTCGACCAAGGAATTTTTGTAATGTAAAGTATATGAGTGCGTAGCTCTAGGAAAGCTGTATCTAACCTGGTTCGCAAAAATTCATCGTGAAGACATTTCCAAGTCGCTTTCGATCCGACAAGGAACCTCATATAAGAAAAACTACAGATTTCTTCAATGTTCTCCTTGTGACAAGTTCTGGCCTAAGAAATCCCGAGGCGAAAAGTATATGGACGTGTAGCCCGTGAAAAGCTGCATCTAACCCCGGTTACAAAACTTCATTGTAGCAGCAATCTCTAAGCGATCGGGTTACATGAAATTCTATTACAGGGGAAAAATAAGAGTGGAGAGAGGATATGTGCTTAAGAACTTTTACTAATATTAACCATTTGAAGTGGGTTCATGTGGAGTTTGTGCAGAATTTTGAGCTCTTTCAGATGAGACCCTTCAAAGTTGTATTAAGTTACGTTTTGGCAAACATAACCCATCTGCAGTGATATAAATAGGGAGTATACTTGTGATAAGCCGGAAAGGATTAAGTGACTTCGAAAACATATTGAATTTGGCATCGAAAGAATCGCCGTGAAATTCTGCATCGGACAGTAGTCTTTGTATGAAAGTTCGTTCGAGGGCCGATTCCTGTTCTTATGCGCCCCCGTCCTTTCCATATACAGTTTACGAAAAAAGTTCTGGGACAGTCAAGAATGACTTTCAAAAATTTTATGTTTTATTCGAATTAAACTTGTTATATATGGTAAGTGTATTTATTCGATAAGCTTTCATACTATAGCATGTAGACGTAAGACCTCTGGTTTTGATATACAAAAAGAAGAGAACAAAATCTACCCAGCGGAAAAAAATTCTGGGACATTTGTAACAAGCATCGAAAAATTAATAAAAATAACTCATGAATAAATAAAATTCAATAGTCTATACATTTACCGTTAACTGCAATACATTTCAGAATTCGACGTGGCATTGAAAATACAAGTTGTTGACATAATTGTGGTGTTATTGATAACCATGCCTTTGATAAAGCTTCAGTTAATTCTTTTACCGACGAGAGTGGCGTAGATTTTAATTTATTATTTATAACGGTCCATACTGACTCAATGGGATTAAGATCCGGGCTTTTATTGAGCCATTTTAATACTTTAACACCTAATTCATGAAATTCCATTTGAGTTTGTTTCGATAGATGATATCTGAAATTGTCATGTTGGTAAAAATAATTATTTTCCATTTGATATAATTGAACTGTTGGAATTAAATAATTATTTAAAATTTTACAATAAACATCACTATTAGTATTTTCATTGTAGATTCGAAAACAGCCAGATCTTTCAGAAGTGCTAGTACCATAAAAATTTACACGACCACCACCACCTGCAGCTGCCACATGCATACAACCTTCTTTCCAACGTTCATCTTTTGTACGCCATATTTTTGTTTCATTTTTACGTTTTATTACGTAAAAGCATGTTTCATCGCTAAATATTATATTTTTCCATTGATTCATAGTCCAATTCGAATAATCCACACACTAATTAAGTCTATTTTTTTTATCATTCTTATTAAGAAATGGTTTTGTTATTTGAGTTTTATATTCATATCCACATTGATGCAAATAATTAATAACTGTTCTTGAAGTAACTGGACTGTTTAACGTGTCATTCAACTTGATAGTTATTTCACCTCCCGAATATCGTTCACCTTTTTGTACTAAGTGCTTTAACATACGCATATTTCGTTCATTTAGTTTTTTTGGTCTACCGGCACGTGGTCGATCTTGAAATTCACCTGTTTCTTCATATCGTTTTAAAGCACGTTGAACAGATGATTTTGAAATACCAACGAAAGTGCTAATTGTACGACAACTCATATTGACTTTACTCAACGCAACGCATTGAGCTCGTTGATAATCACGACAACGTGTTTGCGTCATGCTATTATATTCAATAGAAATTTTTTGATGCTACTTACCCTTTAAAACTCATGTTTTATGATTACCTCAAGAACGTAACACATAAACCTTTCCTAATTTGAAGGTTATTGTAATGAAATCCAAATAGTCCCAGAACTTTTTTCTGCTGGGCAGTTTTTGTTCTCTTCTTTTATTATATCAAAACCAGTGGTTTTACGTCTACATGCTATAGTATGAAAGCTTATCGAATAAATACACTTACCATATATAACAAGTTTAATTCGAATAAAACGTAAAATTTTTGAAAGTCATTCTTGACTGTCCCAGAACTATTTTCGTAGACTGTATTTATAGTTCGTCATGTGCCAGCATTATGAAATTGGAATTTCCCTTGTGCTAGGTTTCTTTCTTCGCTCTGGTTAGACAGAACACGCCTAGCTACAGAGAGAGAAGTAATATCATGCATATTCAAAAACAAATTAATGGCAATTAGAAATTCTGTTTATTGCCTTTAAAATATGCGTGATATTATTTTTTCTAATGTAAATAGTCATGTTGCATCCAACCATGACGAAAAAAGAAACACTAAGCATCAGTAAAATTTTGTAGCCTAGTCATTCAAATAACAGAATGTAAATATGTTGAAAATCGAATAGCTCAGTATATTTAGGCGAATGGGAGCTCATACGTTTAGTTACAGTTTTACGATACGAAGATTCATCAAATTGACCATAATCGATCCTTTCACCGTTCAGCAAATTACCTATTACTCCATAAATTCTGGAATGTTCGTACTATCCTATCTTTGTTTACTATAAACTGATAATATGAACTGATAAACAAAAGCACATATATGGGAAACGATTTTTCCTACTTTTCTCAGTTCTTTACAGATACAACAAACAAAAAGTGCATGCGTAGTTCCGACGGGAGAAAAATATACTGTCATTGTTTAGTAATTCAAAAATAAATATAAACCGTTTTGAAAAAGCAAATTTGCAACGAACCATTGTCCATTTGCTCCTCCATTAGCTACAGCGCTGAGTTTACCATAAGGGATACAGAGCGAACATATGAATATTGGAGATCTAATATGTTTTGTGTCAATTTTACTACAGACCTTCATGCTCAGAGTGAACATCTCATCATCTAGCTAATCTCTCCAATTACTACGGCGCTACCACCTTTGTTTCTGGATCCACTGGCTGTATCTCACGGATCCACAAATATTCAAACGAGATTGAGACTATGTTTACTACTGATCTCGTCGCCTCACTATTCTATAAGAACATCGTTGTATCGTATAAATTATGTGAAAGCAAAAACTACCTTCTTCGACGTTTGTTTACATAGCTTGTATGTGACAGTTAATCAACAGATACCAACCTCTCTTATTAAAGTAGCTGTTGTTTATTCATGCGAATTGATACCAGAAAATTGAAAAAAATGAATACATTACTATATAGCTCCCATTTTATTACTCTCTTTTCTTTTTCTCCTATTTCTGTACGTTGGTATTTTATCTCTTCTATATTCTTTTCGCTACTCTCGTTATTATGGTATCTTCAGTGTTGTTTTTCAACATATCTCCCCTTATTTTTTTCTAGCTTATTTTTGTATTTATTCTTTTTTTTTGCGAAACACGAACTGAAAGGAGTGCTGAAGTGTATAAAGGTACAAATTTGGATCCTCCTCCATCACAGACCGTTCTGGACGGATTTCAGAAACGTCACAGACCCCTGAGAGATGCTTTCTGGAAGGATCACAAACAATGGCAAACGAACATAAGCCCAGGAGGGTGTGTGATATAGAATATTCGCCATCCCACGACAACGGTGGTTTCTGTCCTGGCTGGGACTTCATCAGTTGGTATTCTTAATATTATATCTACTTAGATATTGTAATTCTATAAAAGCTAACATTGAATTACAAATTTCGATATAATAATCAAAGAGACATTTGCACATTAAGGGTGTGGGTGTGGGTGTGGGGTGTGTGCAGAGCTACCCTGATGTTAACATTTCATCTCAGCAACGAGAATCATCAGATGGCGCTCGTTTCGAATATAAATTCAAAACAAAGTTTGAATTCCATACTGCTACTACAAGAGTGATGATAGAATTTTTAACTTACGGTAGTGTGTAGAGCTACCATGGGGTTAGCATTTTATCTCAGTAACTAGAATCACAGGATGGCACTCGTTTCGAAAATAAATTCAAAACAAAGTTTGAGGGTGGGTGTGGCTGTGGGTGGAAAATGTGGGTGTATATACGTGATGCGGACGCTCAGCTGCATCTTGTAACATCGTCAGCATCTACACTCATGGCGAGGCAAACCCACAGAAAGACCTCGCCAAGAAGTGCTGTGCCTGCGCTATTATCAGGGCATTCCTGCTGTCCCGACTGAAACCTACATCAACACCCACAGACTCATCTACATCCATATCCAACACTCACACACTGAACCAGATTCCTTGCGTACTTTATCAAGAGTAATCTACAAGCGAAACGAACCCCCTTCACCAGCAAACGTTTGACTGGAGTTGACGAGCATGTCTCTTGCTACGTTTTTTCTTCACAAAAGTCACCCTGTTCACCTATGTTTATTTGAGTAGCAGCATCCTAATTCGAAAGTCGCTGTTTAAATAAAAAGCAGTACGAAGAATTTTTTTTCTCTTCACCAACAGTGCGTATTTTTCTCAATTAAAAGCATGGGTGTAGAAACAAAAAGGAGGATTGGAACCCACCAGACGAATCTGTCTACACGAAAAAGAAAAGCCTCCCCTAGTCTCAATCCTAGTCATCCCTTGAGAAATCCTGGAAGGATCTTTCAGAATCCTCAACATCAAGGATCTTGCCAAGTTTTATTCAGGATCCTGTTTCAAATCCTGGGATTCCTGTTCGCAGGATCCTATTTCAAGGTGAAATAGGATTCTGTTGAGGATTTCTTCAAGTTCCTGCCAAGATAATATTCTACGACAAAAATTCAGGATTCTAGTAGGAATTTCTCCAGATTGTGTACAGGATCCTGTATTTTTATCTTAGACTATTATCTATGCGTGAACTTGAAGAAATCCTGAACAGGATTCGACCAAGTTTTACCGAAGGTCGTATTCACGATCCTGTTCAAGATTTCGTCAAGTTCCTGCTAAGATAATCTTAAAAGATGAGAATTTAGGATCCTACCAAGGTTTCCGCAAGATCGTGTTCTGGATTCTATCAGGATTCAATGAAGATCGTATACAGCATCTGTTCAGGATTTCTTCAAGTGCTGCCAAGATAATGTTATAAGACAAGAATTCAGGATCCTACCAAGGTTTTCTCAAGATGGTGTTCATGATTCTGTCAGAATTTACTGAAGATCGTATACACTATCCAGTTCAGGATTTCTTCAAACTCCTGCCAAGAAAATATTCTAAGACAAGAATTCAAGATTTAAGCATGGTTTCCTCAGGATCTCTTCATGTTCCTGCCAAGATAATATTCTAGAAAAATGATTCAGGATCCTACCATGATTTCCTCAAGACAGTATTCAGGATTCTACTAGGGTTTATTCAAGATTGTATAAGGATCCTCTCAAGATTGCGAAGGAGGATTCTGCCATGACCTTATCCAATTCTTCTGAAAATCTATGTGAAATATTCGTATCAGGATTCTCTGAGGAGTGATGGTCACATCAAACGAGGATCGTAGCAGGAAATGTACAAGATCATACGGAATACGAAAATGGCTAATGCTGGAAAACTTCAATCAGGATCTGGCTAAGAAAATGCAAGGATTTAGTAAAGATTGTTTCAAGTTACTGTTTAGCCAACTCAGCCGTGTTTATTTCTTGAGAAAGTCTAAAAGGATCGTTTAGGATGATATATTTCAAGGATCGGGTCAAATTTTATTCATGATTGTATTCAGGAACAGTTCAAGTTTGTGATCGAATTTCTTTTCAAACGAGTTTATAGGATCCTGTTCATATTCACTGATTGTTATCCAGAAACCTGAAATAAATAATTTACTAACATTTTTATCTTCACCTTTGTTTGGCTCTTTTCATTAATAAAAGACAATGCATCTTAATAATCTTAGAATTTTTTTATTTCTTTAAAATGTACATAAATATTGTTATGAGACTCAGACAAGAGCGATCCGTTTTTTTTGTTTAATTTTATCAAGGAAACTGAAAGTCATTTAATTATGTGCTAATTTGAATTTAGTTATTGTAATTGTTTTTCATTAAATAGATAGTTTTAGTCAGCAGAAAACCTTTTAATACGAGCTACTTATTATTTTAATTCTGTAGAGAAAAAGTTTCAAAAAGATTTTTTTAATAGCAGCAGAATTCTAAAAAAGTATTGAATTTCACCAACTAATATAAACGTGAAAAATGATATCTCCATTTCGCAAGTTGTTTCGAGGGAATAGGTACTCATAAAAAATTTTAATGGAAGTTAAGTAAAGTTAGAAATTAAGAAATTCTGCGTTAGAGCGATATAGAATGACATGGCACATCCAGCTCGTTAAGTTGGTCGCTATGTAAACTGAAGGTCTAAAGATCGATACTCTATATGTTCATTTATATTCTCTTCTGTTTAGGAAATCCTGCAAAGATCCTGTCAAGAACTTGATGAGATCCTGAAGGAAATCTAGCTCAATCCTACAAAGATCCTGTGAAGATACTCGAGAAAATCTTCGAGGAAACCTAGTAAAATCCTGAAAGATATTATCAGAAATCCTTTTTCTACAATTTTGAAGTATTGAGGTCCTGTCAAGATCCTTGAAAATCTTGCATTAAATCTTTTCAGGATTAGATATGGCACTTTAACTTTAACTTTACTTTGATAAAGTGGTTAAAGTTTAAAGTCTGACTTTAACTTTAAGAGTTAAAGTTAAAGTAAAGTACTTTAACTTTAATGTTAAAGTTAAAGTAAGAACACTTTAATACTTTAACTTTAACTTTCAAAGTTAAAGTAGGGATCTAAAGGATGTCCTGCATGATTATTCTTGATTAGTCCCTTAACATTATCTTCATATATGTGCTAAAGAAATTATTTCTACCAAAAATAGAGGAAGATCAGATTAAACGAAAGTAAAATTACAGTAGTTCGAAACTATAAAAAGATAGTCTATGTAACTTTGTAGAGTCTTTCTAGAGATAGTCCTTGTCGCTTTTTACGACTTGTCAGAAAGTAATATTTTTGACTTTAGGAGATTTCTCTATAAATAATTCCCATATACTTAGAAACGTAGAGATCGTCCTGGATAGTTCCCATAAAATGGACGAGGATCGTATCGGATGAACTCTGAAAAGTATTGAGCAGCAGCCCGAGTCCTTCATAAAAAGTTATGAATCATCTCTGCAGAGACTTTATGTAACAACAAAAGTGTAGCGTCTAACAATTGCCTTTATTTTAAATCAATCGCTATTTTTATACATCGTCTCTCCCATAGGGAAGGAGAATATCTATCGAGAGAGCAGCAAACAGATACATCAGTGTATACATATACTCATACAGGGAAAAGCACATAAAGAGAAGATAGATGAGAGTAGGGGTGAGAATTTATTGTTATTGTTATAAATAACAATAACTTTTTTTGTTATTTGTTATAAATAAAAGATAAATAACAAATAACTTTTTTTCTGGAAAAAGTCTTGTCTCACCTTGTTGTATATCCTAATTGCACCCGTTATTTATGCTTATGCTTTAGAACGAATTTCTAACTTCTATAGTGCTGACTCATATGATATAATCACGATAGATAGCGAGCTGAGTTTTCAGAAAAAAAAGTTATTTGTTATTTATCTGTTATTTATAACAAATAACTATAGAAAAAAGTTATTGTTATTTGTAACAGTAACATTTTTTGTTATTGTTATTGTTATTTATAACAACAAGATAACAATAACTTCTCACCCCCTAGATGAGAGTAAACAGCAGAAATGACAGCAGTGTACAATGCATTGTTAGTTGAAGAGATATGTAATCAGAGGCAAACAGAGAGAGAGATGAAAAGCACACATATGAGTGATAAATGATGAAGAGTCTGTACATCTGTTGCCACACATTAACTAGTTATAAAATCTATTATCCAACAGCTCTCAGAAAGTTATTGGAATTATTATCCATTTCAAATTAAAAGGAGGGTGAGTATTTTTGGAATAATTTTCGATAGGAACTAGATATAGATCTGCGATTTTCACCGTTTAAAAGAGAAAATGAAACTACATCGAATCTTGAATGCCAGAATTTTCTGACAAGTTTTCTCAGGACTAGCCGCCAAGTTTCTAAAACAGAAAACATTGTGTAATGTAAATGTTTTGGAGTTTTATTTTTCAATAGTGCAACAGAATCGTTAACTAAAGTTCAATAATCTGTATAAGTTCGGCGTTAAAAGGCTTAGCCAATCAAGAGTTATTAATGTTTTACTAAACGTTTTCGGCAGATTTTTTAAAAAAATTGACATTTTTTCTAATTTTTTGACGAAAAATCCACTTTCTAAACCTATTAATAAGCCTCGATTTTTTAAAAAAACTAGGCGGGTGGCTTTAAGAAAACTTGTCAGAAAAGTCTGGTATTCAAGATTCGATGCAATTTCATTTTCTCTTTTTAACGGCGAAAACCACAGATCTATATCTAGTTCCTATCGAAAATGATTCCAAAAATACTCACCCTTCTTTTAATTTGAAGTGGATATTAGTATAGAGGAGCTGCCGTAAGCTACATGCTGCTTATTAATCTCCGATTTATCAGTTCACATTCTTGAAGAGATCGATTTAAATAGTTCCTCAAATAACAAATATAATCGGACTGTTCGATATTCTAACAATGTTTACATTATCAAGGCGTACTTTGATTTGGTTGTCTCGCAGTTATTATCGAAGAGGTATTACCGTTATGAGCTAAAGTTATAGTTGTGAACTTGATTTTCTTGTCAGACGAAACCTGTTTTGCGAACATAGTAATTTGCAATAAAATGAAAGAAATTATGTCGTCAATGAGTAAGTAATAGTTGTTAATCCGATCTGCTCAAAGAACAGTAGCGAAGTTAGTAGTACGCGATGCGGTGACTGCCATCCACTCACAAGATTTTTTCCATTTTTTCGTAACAGAAACGAAAAGAAGAGGGTGAGTTGCCTTGGATAGGTTCCGAAAACTGGTTTTTGAGTATGATATGATCGCTATCGTTCACTGATTTTCTGGATCCGCCACTGTCAAAGAATAACATGATCTGGTGATTCATTGGGCGGAGGTCTATGTTATGTTGATTCATTAACAACTTTCTTGCGTGGAAACAAACAAATACTCCTTATTATAATGTACCATGATTGAAATAAAAATTGAATATTCAAATTGATCTTTGTTAAATTGTTATTTATGAAAAATGGAGGATGATGAATTACCATCGGAATCTACATCACGTCCATCGTTCCGTCGAAATGCTCACAAAAAAATGGTGTCTGCGAATGCAAATACTGCTATGGATTCATCTTCAGAAACTCGAACAAAAAAAGATAAACTAACATCAACAACAACAAAACACGTTATCAAATCAACAAAACAATCCAATTCAAGAAAGAAAAAGTCCATTATTCGTCCAATGCCCAAACCCAGAAGATTAGCAACAACTGTTGATCAATTAGATAGTACAGATGATGATATGCATGACGATCATGATCGAACAACAACAGAACAATCAGGTTTAAATAATTCTAATGCACACGAAATTAATGATGAGGATAAAGAAACAGGTGTTGAACTTAATCGTTCATTTGCTAGTGGTGAAACCACTAACGATGAACCAGATGAACATCAAAAGAATGTGAAGAAAACTACAACAAAATCGAAGCAAGATGTATTGCAATACTTCGTGGGACAAGATTCTGGAGAATTAAAATGTATTTTATGTTCGGATTCTTTGAAAGTAAATATATTTTTCTTTCCACTAGTTCCTAGGCTGTCTTTTCATTGAACGAAGTTTTCACTTTTCAATATGTCCCGTCTTTTTTGTGATAATTAAAGTAATTAATTTCATAAAGTGTAGTCGCCAACATGTCCCATCGCATCCCTTTGTTATTATGGAAAATTTACGTAAACGTTAAGATCTTGGCTAGAACAAGCTTTATGTACCCAATATTGGTCAGATGTTTTCGTACTGAGATTGAATAGTTCAATGAGAAAGATGCAGGTGGCTTAATACTTCGTGAAACACGAATTAAAAGGAGTGTTGAAGTATATAGGAATAAAATTTTGCACCCTTCGCAGGTTTCCTACCCAGAGACCTTGTCCGAAACGTTGGAAATAGTCGCTCCTCTCTCCCTCCCCATCACAAACCATAACAGGCACCATACTATTTCTTTATTTTCAATTTAAATAAGTAGCTCGATTGTGTTTCACATTTTAAACCCACAGGAATCCCACTAACTGCTTTTTAGTGGATATCAGTACAAAAGCAGGAATAGTTGTTCATTTTAGTAATTTTGAAAGAAAGATTCGTACCTTAAACTAGTTCGAAACCATCTATTGGATCGAAATCATAAATAAATGAAGTATATGAATATCTTGTTTCTTGCGGAAAACTAACTTTCGGCTAAACCCAAAACTGTTAGTATTCAATGCATTATTGAGAGCGGATGGAAAACTGTTGAATTTCTCTTGAGAATTTTCTCTTTTTAACAAACGGTGATTCAAAAGTAGGATATTTTTATGTAGTATTTAGCGAACTTCTACGCAGATAAGAGTGAACGTCGGCGTAGATTTGATGTTTTTTGAAAATAGATTTCGCAATAGACAAAAGATTTCTACGAAAGCCTTTGGTTAACAAAGAAAACCGTATTCAATATAACTGTTAGTTTTGCAGAGAAACAAACTACAATATATATCAAAAAAATTACTGATCTTATGTTTCCTCTTATTAGATGAGTTTTACTTTAAATTCATTCAAAATAATATGTCGTTAAATAACTATCAGCATTATTTGCCTTCGTATATGATCAGTCAATCAAAGCTAGTTTCGTTTAAAGAGCCGAATGGATGATTGTAAATGACGACGTAGGAAATAGTTTAATACCTTTTTCTTGGTGGTACAACATCTGAAAAACAATACGCTGCATATCTAATACGGCATTTGGTTTTGAATATGATTATATAATTTGAGTTCTGGCTTAAACTTATACAGATTTATTTCGAAAAATATATTTCGCTTGCGAGGAGTAATTATAGAATTCTACCTTGTTGGTTTTTCTTTTTTTTCAGCTATTTCCAGCAAAAAGTGCATCATCAGATTCAAATTTACGAAGTCATTTAGGACATATTCATAAACTTGAAGAGTTTCTTTATCCTTCTCAGCGAAATCAAAAACCATTAAAAGAACAAAAAATATCTCTTCAACATAAAAAAAATCTAGATTTAGCTGCTATAAATGCAATTATACAAGATTCTCATGTCTTTAGTCTCTTTCGAAAACCTGGCATGCAAAAGTTTCTGTCATTGGCTACACCTGGTTATCATGGTCCAAATAGACGAACAGTTGTTAAACGTTTAAAATCTATGTATAAACAACGTCGATCATCAATTCAACAAGAATTATCTATTATTTCCGATATTGCTTTATCAGTCGATCTTTGGCAAAGTGTTCGTCGTGCCCATTTCATATGTTTATCTGCTCATTATTATGATAAACACTACAAACCACATTCTAGTATTATTGCATTTCGAAGATTCATTGGCACTCATTCTGGTGATCGACTTGAAGATTTTATAATTAATGAAATGGAAAAGCTTGGTATACAATCAAAAATATGTTCTTTAACAACAGATAATGGAAGTGATATACGATTAGCATCACAAAACAAATCAAAATTTGGAATAAGAATTTCTTGTTTCTTACACATTTTAAACTTGGTTGTTCGTAATGGACTTTGGTTCTTTGATATGCCAGTAAAAAAAAGGTAGGAGGTCGTTTATTTACAGAAAATATACAGGCAGAGACATGAGATAATAGGAAAAATGGATAATGATATTAGAATGATTTTTTTTTGCATACTATAAATAATCAAAAAAATTTTACATCATCATGATTTTTGACGCTAATAGATTTTTAAACAAGTTTAGAATTTTGTTGCGCATCAGTAAAAAGTTAGTCTTATTGAGTGTTGCTATATTTAGACATTTACATCAAATGCATTACAAGATGCAGATAGATATCGACATTTTTGCTAGCCGAATGTATTTTACGTCTATAATTGATTCAAATCTTTCATATAGTGTTACCGCAACTAAACTTGCGTTTCGTCTATAGAAAAAATGGCATAGTGGAAGGTTCATAAGAACCTTTATTTAATAATCTACGGATAAAATAATAGTTTTTCAAATTTATTCATTTTTTTATGTCTGTCAAAGAAGGAACATATAATTAAATGATAAAAATTTGTTTAATATTAGTTCTGTCTAGACATAATCGAATCATATTAAAATGAATTAAAATATGAAATTTTCTTCAGGATGCAAGAAAAGATCATTGAAATCAATAAAATCTATATACGAGAGAGTTTTAACACCAAAACTGCTTATTTCATAGTTGATTTATTCAAATAGCTTTCGTTTTATCATACTAGGATCTTCATCAATATCTCAAAACTTTCCTTCTATTCGATTCACCAAATTTTAATACAAAGCTAAAAGAGACTTTCATGAAGCAGTCTATTGAGCCTTAATTTATTCACTTACGGTTAGTGAATGAACGGGTGCCTTGAAGAAATGAGAGAAAACAGAGAATAATTGGATGAATGAATATTTATTGTAGTTTAGCAAGTACTGGGATCCACACTCGAGAGAGAGAGAGAGTAGTCATGAACTTCGTCACAAAGACTTTTTCTAGCTTCCACTTATTTTTTGAAGAAAAACATTGAAATCATTTGCCTGTGATCTTACTATTTGTAAGTAGAAACACTTTTGCTTGTTTCACTTTGAACGAAATGATTAAAACATAATTAAACTTATTTAACGTTTTCTAAGGAAATACGATAAGAATATTTAAAAGGTACCTTCTATTTCTCACCTACTGTAGACTGAAGTTAAGAAATAGCTTCAGTTCGATTGCTTGAACACAAAGGAGTTTTCGTAGTTGAACATCTTGTATATTTAAAATGCATGTCTTCTATTCTCTGTTAAATAGTATAACAACAACATCAACAACAAATTTCACCAATTCCAATACAACATCATCAGCATCGAATTTCACCAACTCCAATGCAACATCAGTTACATACACGGATTCATTATTAGAAGATAATGATTATGATTCAACAATAAATGTTGATAAAGTTTCGGATGAAGTTAGTGATGATAATTCTAGTAGCATTTCATCCGAACACAATGATCTTGATAAATCATCTAGTACTGCATCAACAACAATCTCATCATTAGACAATGGATCAGAATTGTCATCTTTAGGAAATGATACTAGTGATGATGATATAAATGCACCATTATTACCATCAATAACCGAAGAAGAAGAAGACAAATTTCTTTATCAATCATATCTTGATCTAACAATTTTATTGACAAAAGTTCATTTTATTCTTAAACGTATTCGTAACTTAGTTACATTTATACATCGATCAAGTGTGTTGCACCGTTATGTTACTAAAGAAATTAAATTAAAAATCGAAAAATATAATCGTACAATTGCAATTAATGATTCAACCAAGAAGAAATTAAACTTCAAAGAAATGACACTTGATATGAAGATCAGATGGTCTTCTACATTTGCTATGTTATCTCGATTCTTATTTTATGAATCAGTCATCATCTCATTAACCCATGATCCGTCTAAACGAATGAATTTAACACCACATCAATATCGAAAATTGAAGAAGTTGTCTTTTACATCTCTTGATTGGTCAATATGTAGATCACTTGAAGCTGTACTTTCTCCTTTCAATCATTCAACAAAAATACTTTCAAGTCGTCAACGACCAAATTTATCAAGTAATAAAGCTATCATGGTTGCTTTAACAAATTTTTTAACAACTAGTGATGATGATTTATTAACATTAGAGGTTTTGTTCAAGAAACAACTATCAATTATGTTTAAATTTTATCTAGAAAAACATGTTGGTGATGAACAAGCAAAAGCAACTTTAGTACGTATAAAATGACGACCTGAAAGAAAAGAGAGAAGAGAAAAATCTGACTCATTTGAACATAAAGAAAAATTAGAAATACATTCTTTCCCTTAGCATCAAGGACTTTTTGGTCTGATCCAAGAGCGATAGAATGGCCTATATAAATCTTTAAGTGTCATTAATTCAGCTGTTCGTTCCTTGGCTTCAATGCATATTTTTGAAATATGTTTCTCCTTTATCTATACCTAGGGATGAGAAGTTATTGTTATCTTGTTGTTATAAATAACAAATAACTTTTTTTTCTAAAAACTCAGCTCACTGTCTATCGTGATTATACCATATGAGTTAGCACTATAGAAGTTAGAAATTCGTTTTGAACCATAAGCATAAATAACGGGTGCAATTAAGATATATACAGCAACGTGAGACAGAACTTTTTCCAGAAAAAAAAGTTATTTATTATTTATCTGTTATTTATAACAAATAACAAAAAAAGTTATTGTTATAAAAAACAATAAATTCTCATCCCTATCTATACCTACAGAAATTGCCATAGACTTGATTATCAGATATCGTTTTATTTTTCCCGTATTCTTCACATCAAAATCTTACTTTAAACTTAAAAAATCCGCTTCTCCTCACTGAGCTATAGAAATAGCTGAATGTTTTTCGTGGTAGTAGGAATATAACGCTCTTGACAAAAAAGAATTACATAATGTATTCAGCATAGATAAGTATTACCTGTGAAAGATTGTTGCTAGTATGAAATCTTGATTTTTCTATTTCTGTCGTTTTCTTGAAGATAGCATCATTTCTTGATCCAACAACTTATCGATATTTAACATGTGATGATAAAAAAGAAGCTGAAGCGATTATATTGAATGAAGCCATGGAACATTATGCAAAAATAAATTCACGATCATTGTCATCGACAAATTCCTCCTCATCATCGAACACATCATCAAATAAAAATCAACAAGAGAGTCAATCCAATACGTTGGATAATTTATTTATTGCTTGTGGTTTATCAGTAAATATAAAAACAACAACTCTGACCTTGAAGCCATCAAATATAAAAGAAGAAATTGCTCGTTATATTGCAACATTGAATCAATATAAAACTTTTAGTGAATATTGGGATGAGAACCAACAACAATTACCAATTTTATCTTCAATTGCACGTCGATACAACATAATGTGTGCAACTGCCATCGATTGTGAGAGTTCATTTAGTATTGCAGGATTTTTACAACGCAAAAACAGATCGAATTTGGCACCATCAACACTACGTTATTCAATGATCTTACGTGAGCAAATACAAACATAACTAGTTTTTTATTTTCTTTTAGTTTTTTGACTTTGTCTTTTGATTTTTCTTCATAATGTAAAGTATTGACATATTTTTTGTATGAAAATTTTAGAGAGTGAAAAAAACAACAACATTATTTTGCTTGTATATGCGTGTACTTTTTGTATGATGGTAAGAAAAACAAAAATTTCTCGATAAAGATTGATTTGAAAATAAAATAAAAATAAAAATAATGATAAAAGATGTGTATTTTCTTAAAGACTCACACAGGAGATGTTCTCATTTAGCCTCTAGCTACAGCGTGAATCAAGGCCATTATGAATAAGAGTCTTTTATATATACATATATATGACTTGTATCAATGAAATAAACAGGACTTATTATTTTGGTTATCGCCAAGCTTTTATTTCTCGCTCATTTTTTGGAAAGTACTCTTTATTTACTTCTCTATGACATGCAGTGGCGTAGCCAGAGATAGGGCAATTGCTCAATGATTGAAAAGTTATTGCCCATAATTTTTTTAAATGATAAGAATTGCCCAATTCTGAAGAATCTTAATAGAATAAACGTCGATTTTGTGACGACAATAAGTTGTAAAAAAGCTATAGTCCAATTGATTTCTAACAGCCCATTTCTGCTCCATCCTCAAATTAATTTAGCTGGAAAATGACCCATGAGTCAAAGATTCCTCATTACGCCGCTGATGACATGTGTACTTAGCTTCATTTCATTACATACTTCGAAATCATAGTACAACTCTGACGAGGTAACATTACCAACTGCCACATCGCTTTTAAGTCGGAACTATGCGCATCGTATAGGCTCCAATTATTTATAATCTCTATGACGTTTCTAGGTCTATAGGAATTATTCATAGAGAAATCTCATAAAGTCAAATGTATTACTTCCTGATAAGTCGCAAAAAATGACAAGGACTATCTCTAGAAAGACCCTAGAAGGTTACATAGATTATCCTTTGATAGTTTCGAACTACCGTAAATTCACTTTCGTTTAATCTGATCTTGCTCTACTTTTGATAGAAATAATTTCTTTAGCACATATATGAAGATAATGTTAAGGGACTAATCAAGAATAATCATGCAGGACATCCTTTAGATAGCTACTTTAACTTTGAAAGTTAAAGTTAAAGTATTAAAGTGTTCCTACTTTAACTTTAACATTTAAGTTAAAGTACTTTACTTTAACTTTAACTCTTAAAGTTAAAGTAAAACACTTTAACTTTAACTCTTAAAGTTAAAGTAAAACACTTTAACTTTAACTCTTAAAGTTAAAGTCAGACTTTAACTTTTATTTTTAAAGTAAAGTTAAAGTGCCATATCTACTCTCAACTCTGGCTCACCGCAAAGCGTGATCGAATGGCTTGCTGCCTGGTGGCAACAAAAGCAAGTACGAGGGTGTACGCTTTGGTCTTAAGCCGCATTAATGCGATGCACAACAAGAATACAATAATATCAAAAGAAGAAGAACAGCAACATAATTCCTTTGAAATCCGATTCGTAAATATCATTAGTTTTTTTAATATTCGTATTGCTCTGCATAACATTTGATTGTGATTTATTGACGATCATTGCGCATGCTGCGATATTCAGACCAAGTTAGAACACCGTCAATGAGGGAATCTATCAGAACGATGTGTGTAGTTGGATTCATTCTACAATTGGTTCAACTGCCGTTTTCTACGGCGGCATCAATTGAAATAGATCATGATCAAGTCAAAGGCAAACAGTTACTAGAGTCAACGTATCCAGCATCGATCCGTATCGATGATGCTATGTCATATCTCAACGAATTGCAACAATTGGCCACAGCCGAAAATGGAACGCGAGCAATCGACACAACGGGTTTTAATCGAACACTCGACTATTTGACTGACCATCTGGCGGCTAATACAAATTTTAGAATCACAAAAAAATTCTTTTCTGTAAGAAAATTTACTCTTGCACATCATCCTACTCTTCTTTCATCGATCAACGGTCAAATAGTTAATCATAGCTATTCGACTGATCCTTCAAAAAGCGACTTTTTACCAGTTCGCTTTTCTACCACAGTCAATTTATCGAATTATACTCGATTAACAGTCATTCCCAATTTTGGCTGCTCACACAAAGATTGGTTGAGTGCAAATCCACCGACTAGCGGTCGAATCGTGTTGATAAATCTAGGCTTGTGTCCATTTCGCGAAAAAGGCGATCTCGCAGCCAAGTACAATGCTACTGGTATTCTATTTTACAATGATGGCACCTCCCCTGATAATATGGCACCTATTTCGGTAAGTCTTGCACAAACGAATTCCATACCAGCACTATTTCTCTCATTTACTCTCGGTGAACGACTTGCGCAAGCTGCTCGAGATTTATCATCAAATGTAGCGATTCGTTTCAGTATTGTGCTAACGAACGAAGCACCGATTCCTGTTGGTAATATCTGTGCCGATACACCCACAGGTGATCCGACTCAGACCATTCTTATCGGCAGTCACAGTGATAGCGTACCAGCTGGACCTGGAATCAATGATAACGGTGAGTAAATTGTTCGAATAGAGCTCCGTACTTTATCTTCGGTATCACTCTTTTGAGGAAGTGGTAGTGCGGCCAATCTTGCTTTAGCAGCAACTCTTGCACGTCTCTTTCGAACGCGTAACTATGCCAAATACAAGTACCGCATACGATTCTGTTGGTGGGGTGCCGAAGAAGTTGGCCTTCTCGGCTCAGCGTTTCACGTTTCAGAAGCTCTCAAGTCCACTGTTGTCGGCGAACGTATTATTGACTATTTATTCACTCTCAATCTTGATATGCTCGCCTCACCGAATTTCATGTTTGGCATCTATGATGGTCACACAGCCAGAAATGATACTCCGCCGATGGCTATGCCGGGTAGCAACAAAGTTGCAATACTCTTTCAAGATTGGTTCATTCGACAAGGCTTACCTTGGGATTATACTGAATATACTGACCGTGCTGACTATGCACCATTTCTTGCGGCGGGAGTTGCAACGGGAGATCTCTTCTCAGGCGCTGACGATATAAAAACGCAAGAACAACGCGATCGTTACGATCGCATTCTAGGTCAAGGTCAAGGTGGCATGGCAGGCGTCCCTCATGATCCATGCTATCATAAGGCCTGTGATTCTATTCAAAACGTAAATGTATTCGTCTACGAGAAGATGATCAAAGCAGCTGCTTATGCCATCGAAAGTTTAGCACGACAGGCCGATTTGAAAACATGGCTTTATCCAATAGAAGACAGTCAACGTGTAACCAACTAATAGTTCGAATCAAAAGAGCAGCAGTCAATAAAAGATTGTTTTCAACCTTCAAAATTTATTGAATACTTTTTACAATTCACATCAATAAAAAAAGAAAGATTATATTTATTCAACCTTTATCGGAGATATTTTGATATTGCTGTAACTAGATTGAATAGATCTTGTTCCAAGAGGGAAAAACTCATTCGGGTATTCCTATCCATTCCTATCCATCCCCAACCATTCCTAGCCATTCCAAGCCATTCCGAACCATTCCGACTAGGTATGCACCAGTAGTAGTCCCGCCTACTCGACTCGGTACCAGTCCGCCTGAGTATCCAGTCCGACTGGGTTCCCACCTCTATTGGATATCCAATGAGCTGACCTAGAGCTGATTCGATAATCATTATTTTTGTTTCTGACTAAAGATTTTCAAGGTCGAAGAATCCGAATTTGCAATCAGTTTCTAGAAATTGTATACTTGATTTTTTCATCAAAGAAAGGCTTTTTAAGAAAATAGGAATTTTTTTATAAAGTTTGACCAAAGATAATCGGGGTTGGAGGATCAGAATCTGCAATCAGTTTCTAGAAATTATGTACTTGATTTTCTCACCAATGAAAGGATTTTTTAAGGAAATAACGACTTTTTATAAAGTTTGATCAAAGGTAATCGGGTTCGAGGAATTCAAATCTGTAATTAGTTGTTCGAAATTTTGAGTTTCATGTTTGTTACTAAAAAACTTTTCTTAGAAAAAAAGTCGCTTTCTTCTAAAAAAACATGTTTTTAGTAAAAAATGCAATTTTTTTTTCTTTAAAAAGGTTTTTCCACTAAAAGATTGTTTTGCGAAAAAAACTGGTTTTTTTCTGCGTAAGAAATTCTTTTTCATTAAAGGAACATTTTTTTTCGTATAAAAGTCAAACTCAAAATTTTAAGAAACTAATTAGAGATTCAGATTCCTCGACCCCGAAATCCATTGGTCAAACTTTACAAAAAATCGTTATTTTCATAAAAAAATTCTTTCTTTGATGAAAAAATCAAGTACACAATTTCTAGAAACTGATTGCGGATTCGAATTCCTTGATCCCAGATAAAATATGTTATGGTATTGATACACAAATGATGATTGAAAACTTCCATCGACAAGAACAAACAAAATTAACAAGTCCGATCTTGAAGCAACATTCAACCAACAATCTCAAAGGAAATAATCAGAACGATGGCAATTGGGAAACTGTACTAGCTCGTAGAAATAATAAAAGAATGAACACTGAAAATAATGTCGATTATCGTCAACAAGCTAAAGTGTTGCCTAAGTCTAATCAACTCCATGTCTCATCTTACAAAAATCGAATTTCTTCCTCATGTCACATCAATCAACAAACAACAAACGAAGAAACTCGAATACCAATTACAAACGATGCACTAGATTATGCTTCTAATTACCATTTTCCGCCATTTAAGTTAGAGTGCCTCTCGAAAATTCGGGATAGAAAAGATGGAACAAAGTTGATTAATGAATTAATTAAATTCATTACACCTGGTTTTCTCATTCAAAATCCACGTTTCTCACATGACATTCTTATTGATCTTTGGTGGATTGATCCTGATGGAAATATCCAATTAATAATAAAAGCAATTGATCTATATGTCTATTTATATAAACGTGATCGATATCTTAATCAATTGAATAATGTCAAAATTAACCCAATTCCTCCAACTCATTTACCACCGCAACATACAGTGATAAAAAAATAGGTCAATATATCGTTCACAGACAGTGATGTTCGTGATGAATTAAATATGAAATTCGAAAGTCTATTCTCAAGTGATTCGATGCAAGGAACTATCAATGAAAGAAATCGCCATATCAAGGTGGAAATGTTCAATAAAAAAGAATATACTAAACTATTGAACAGTGAAAAAATAAATCTAGGAGGTCAATTGTATTCTGTTGATGAATATCTCCCATCTCCACGTATATTAATTTGTAATTGTTGTAACCTTTCTGGTCACACAAAAAAGTCTGATCGAAATTTGAATGTTGATTTATGTCGTCGGTGCGGTAAACCAAGATCAAACATACAAGAACATAAGGAATGTGAAATCAAGTGTCACCATTGTTATGAGAACCATTTAGTCACTGATTACAAATGTAAAACTATAGACAAATACGGACGTGAATTGATTGAAGAGCTTAAGAAAATTCAGAAAGAGTGTCCTCGGATGTTCAACTGTTTATTTCAACTGAATATCGATCCGAAGATCGTAGAAAAATGATTTATAGTGAAGAAACTTGCTACCGAAATCAATATACTCAACAACAACAACTTCTCAACAAGAATGATGTAAATAGATGGCCTGTCTTAAGAGCAAATAATACTCCAACAACAACCGATGTCTCAAGCAATATTAATCTGGTAATTAAAAATATCTCAGAAGAATTGAAAGAAGAAAAAAAGAGGCACAAAACAACGGATTATCAGTTCTTGTCACATACTACATAAGTAAATCTCATATATTGATCTTTGCCAGACAAAGAAAACTGAGAAACGTCTTTGAGAGCTAATAAATGCAATACCTGCACGTTGAAAGTTTTGGAGTTCCAATTGATAATCAATTGTTTTACCAGATTCATCTAAATGATTACCATAGTAATCGTAGGGAAGGATTAAACCTAGAAAATATGTTTAACAAACAAATAAACTGCGTTAATCTGGCAAAATGGTACCTTACCAGACAATTCATGAGATAATGGTGCCATTCTTCGTTCAACTTCATTAAATGCCGATGAACCAGGTGCATTTGTTACCATAAATAAAACATATAAATCATATTTGTTAAATTAAATTGTTGCTGCCTGGATGGTTTTTGGATATCTTGGATTTTCGAAGGGTCCACCATCGACTGATATAATAACAACTGGTTTTAAATTGCCATCTGTTAAAGCTGCTTTTTCGAATTCAGGTAATCGTATCATTGTATCAAAATCTTTTGCATGACCTAAAGCAGAACTATGATCATGCTTCCCTGA